ATTTAAAATACTCCCCTTCCTTTTGAATTCATATCAATTTAGAAAGGAAAGTATTTTTTGACTCAATTCTTGTGCTTTATCTGTTGGCATTCAAGTTTATTTAATTAGTAGGCTTTCATTTGCACTAAAAAAAGCGAGAATTCAGAGCAAGCATGGGGCGACTGGAATGTTAGCCTAATTGGTTGATCTGTGTTAATTATTAGGTAACTTGGCTAAACAAGAAAGCCATTCACAGACAAGGAAAAGTGATTGTAAAGTCTCTCTTTAACAAAGCCACCCACCCTGAGGAGAGTCTAGCAGTCCTGGAGCCACAATGTGTTATTTACTACGGCTCTTGTTAGAGGTTCTGCTTTTAGGAGGAGGAGGAGAATTAAGGCTAGGATTTACGGTCAGGAGATACAAATCAGAATGCGTGGAGGCTACACAATGGAGGGAGATCAGCTTCAAAAATTTAGATGATATTTAGAAAGGAAACAAGGAATATAATTTGTTTTATTCTTAAATAATTAATGGAGCCTTTGAAAAGACTGAGAACAATCTAGATAAAATCCAAACCACCTTAAAATGAATCAACGAAAGGTAACTCTGCTCCCAGGATTGAAATCATGCCGTATGTATATGGTGTGGGTTTCTGACCCTTATTTAACATACCGTGAGTATTTTTTTTCCTTCTAGGGTACTAATTATTCCTCAAAAACGCTTGCCTAACTTTACAATAAAACTAGATAAACCGTAGGTCATACTTTAACCTTCTTATGTGAGCAGGAAGGTAGTGAGCAAGATCAGTGTAGAGAGGGGATCTCTTGGGTCCAAATGGTTAAGCGGAAGTGCCCAGTTGTAGAGGGGAGGGAGGGTTTGTGTCCCTCTTGTAACCGGACACAAAAGGGGTCCAGGCCACCTATCACCACTTGAGCCAAATTAAGCAGAGACAGGGTTGAATCATTTGAGCATTTATTCCAATGATGGCGGCTGTGTGGGGGGCGCAGTAGGTCCTCCTGTAAATTCTGCTCTACCTCTTCTCCCCTGTTGATTATATATGGACTACAGGCCCGATGCACGAAATTCATGCAAGAGTAGGCCTTTCTCCACTCGGCCGCCAGCACCGGCTTCCCTCCCGCACCCGGGACCCAGGCTTCCCTCTGGCCGCCAACAGGCACCCGGGACCCGGGCTTCCCTCGCAGCCCCGGCTTTGTCCGAAGGTCATCTGGAAGGACGTCCGGCCTAATTAGCATATTACATTTTTATTATTATAGATTATTATAGATAAGGAAGAAAGGCTACATTCCGGAGGGGGGGAGGGAGGGGGAGGGCAGGATAACGGCTGCAAAGTCTGTGGTCTCCATCCAGGATCCTGAAATCTGATAACAAGGTAGTTAATTTTCAGTGGTGTTAAAAGCCAGCTCCACCTGGGACTGGAGAATGGTCAGCATTCCTGAGGTGAACTCTTAGTGGCACAACTGAAGAAAATGCTAGAGGTTAGAATTGTGATAGTGATGATGTGTCTCCATAAGGCTTTGCTGTAAGACCAAAAGTAAGATGTTTTCGTAGTCCATTCACAGCAACGGAGATAGTAGAGTCTTGAGAGAGGTTAGTTACCAAGATTACAACTATGAGACTCCATAGTTGAATTTGGCCAAGGGTAGCTTGAAATATCAAAAAGTAAAAAATAGATTTGAATATTTTTAGGCAGGGCATATACTCTCGTGTTTGCCATTATCTCTTTTAAAAATTGATTTCAGAGAGGGAGAGAGAGAGAAACATCAATGATGAGAGAGAATCATTGATCAGCTGCTCACGCCCCCCACCCCCACCGGGGATCGAGGCTGCAACCCAGGCATGTGCCCTGACTGGGAATCGAACTGACGACCTCTTGGTTCCTGAGTTGACACTCAACCCCTGAGCAACACCAGCCATGCAAGGTAGTCCATTTTTAGTAAAGGCTCTTCCAAGAACAGAAAATGGACAATGATCTGCTCGCTATTAAGGCAGACAAGGAGGAGCTAGTGGGGTGTTCCAGGAAAGGATAAACATTTTGGTTTAGTTAGTTCAACTCATCTTCGAGGACGGGACCAGTCAATGGTGGAGGCAGTAGGCATTTTCAGAGTCTGAGGCTGTCGTGTGTGCAGCCAGGGAAGACAGGAGGCAGTTGACCAGTTGGCCAGAGCACAGCCCATCAGGACGGCAAGAGAGACTCTGCCAGAGAAACGGGAGAGGAGGGTGTCCCTGAAGAGGAGGCCCAGAATCTATACTTGATCCAGGAGGAGAAGGACACAGTGCTGGAAGCAGTTCACATA